ATTAAAACGAAAACAGAGAGCACGGAACAACAAAAAAGTAATTACCAAAATATATTAATCAGGTCTACCTAAATGCGTGTGTCATGTGACACAGTGATATACTGTTTGTGTTATTCAAATTAGTTAAAGTTGCTAATGGCAGTGTTGACATATTGACAACAAGTGGGTGGTTTTACTAAGGGGATTCAGTAATAAAGATGGCTAAACATTTAAGGTTCCTAAAATATCACTTGTGGAATGAGATACACTTAAAGGCGCTAGACCATTCAATGCATTTTCAGAAGAACAGTATGCATCGATGCAGCGAACAAATAATGGGAGCGATTTTATCGTGCGGATAGGTTGTGGTAGGTTATTCCAGAGTCTAGAGAATTTACAGGTGAAGTAATTCATATAAAGAGATGATTTAGAATGAGTTTGTTTCACTAGTGCCAAGGAATTACGTATGTTATAATGAGAGGTTTCTGCATATTGAATCGCGTGATCGGATGTAAATGATAGTTTATGAAGTATTTTGAAGAAAAAAATAAGATTTAGTTTGAGTCTCCTCCTCCATAAAGGGTCTAGCCCAAGTTTATTACATCTAGAATTATAAGTTAAGGTACAATCAGCTCCAAGAATACGAAGTGTAAATCGTCTCTGTACTGATTCCAGCCTTAATTTATCCTTTATGAGAGCACTGCTAAGAATAAACGTGCAGTATTCCAGAAGAGGTCGAGCACAAACTTTGTACATTAGAATACGTGACTCAGTGTTGTAAAGATTTCGAGTTATGTAACCTATTAGACGTTGAGACTTAGAGGTCTGTTTTAATATATGTTCTGTAAACGACAGGTCTTGGGAGTATCTAAGTCCTAAGTCTACTACTGTATGTAACTTAGATAACACTACTCCATTTATGGTAACGTCTAGGTTGAGCGATGTATCGCCGAAGCATATCCATCCACATTTAGCCGTATTAAGCTTCAGTTGCCATTTCAAGCACCACTGTGTTACCTTGTTAAGCTCCATGTTGACGCAATTTCGTATATTTTTCAGGTCATGTGGAGAAAATGAATATACTACTTTAAGATCATCTGCATATAGAAGGGGCTTACCGACACAAAAACTTTCACAAATATCATTAATATACACTAAAAAGAGCAAAGGACCTAAGACACTACCTTGTATTACTCCACTTCTAACAGGGACAGCGTTAGACAATGAAGAGTTAATTTTGACTATTTGGTATCGATTGCTGAGAAAGGAATCAAGCCAAGCAAGCAAAGGATTTTGAACCCCATAAGATGCGAGCTTACCTATAAGAAGTTGGTGGCTAACCATGTCAAAGGCTTTAGAAATGTCCAGATATAGCACTAAGACTAGATAACCCTGGCTACGTAGAGAATAAACTAAATTAAAGAAGTCAAAATGACATGTCATGCAAGAACGATTTTTAAGAAATCCATGTTGAGTATCATTGATAAATTTTCCAGCAAGTAAATAGTTGGAAAGTTCATCACTGATAATTTTTTCCATAATCCTAGAAATAACTGGAGTAATATTTATTGGCCGGTAATTGTTCATGTCAGTCTTATCTCCAAATTTGTGACGTGGTATGATGTACGCGGTTTTCCAACAATAGGGGTAAGAACCGGTTTCCATAGAGAGAGTAAACAGCTTGAGAAGAAGAAGTGGAATATCTGGACCACCATATTTGTAGAGAAATGATGAAATCCCGTCTACTCCATGACCTTTCGAAAGCTTATGTGTATTTATAGCCTTACTAATTTTCATGCATGTGAATGAGATAGATTTTATTGAGTTGCTAGTCACGCACATAGCTCTTGAACCATAGCCACTTGTGTTTTCTACAACATTGGCGAATGTACTACTGAAAAGGTCGGCCATGGTTTTTGAGTCGTATATAAAAGTGCTATTATGCTGGATGCACAGTATATCAACATTACGAGTTGCTTTAGTGCGTTTATTGAAAAGGAGAGTTAAGTTTTGTACTTTCGAGTTAGTATTAAGGGCTAACAGTTCCTCATTAATGGCTTTTGACCTATGTTTCTCTTTAATTTGATTAAAAATTATTGTTATTTGTGCAACTGCTGTGAAGTCGTTTGACTTAAAATAACGATTCTGTAGGCGTTTTAGTTTATTACGATATTTAGCTGGTATATATAATTCGTAAGGTTTACTAAACCTGTACGTTTTAACAGGTACACAGGAATCTAAACAGGAGTTAATGATCAGATAGAATTCATCGATAGCATCCATGAGACTATTACATGAAAAAAAGTTATCCCAGTCTGATAGTTTAATCAATGAATGCAGGAGGTCCCAGTCAGCATGCTTATAGTCTCTATATTGACAGGTTTTTTGAATGGGTGGGTTATAAGAGAGATAGATAGGGAGAGCGCAAACTACTATCTTATGGTCACTGCTTTCAAATTCATCATACACTTTTACAGATAGTGGTATAACATCTCTACTAAATATTAGATCGAGTATACTATCGCCTCTAGTTGGGGCACGAACCCACTGTGACCAGCAGTGCATGTTAATGGTTGCCGAGAACTCATCATTACATGTCTGACAGCTACCAGTACTCCAGTTGATCCCAGGATAATTGAAATCCCCAGTGATAACCTTAGCATTAAAGTTTAGAGAGGATGCATGTATGAATGCATTGATAATAAGATCATTCCCACTATTCAGACTATCAGGAGCTCTGTATATACATCCAAGTAGTAGATTATGATTCAGGGTGTTGACTGATATCCAGACTGATTCTGGTAAACTATTCAGGACACTATCTTCAACTTTATTAGTTGTTAGGGTATCCAAAGCATATATAACACAACCACCTCCTCGCTTAGTTTCTCTGTCGCAGCGATAAAGTCGATAGTTCTGGATATTTAATTCTGAATTAGATACTGCTTGAGAGCACCATGTTTCAGTGATAAGTATGAAAGAAGGTTTGGCTAGAAAAGCTAATGTTCTCAAGGCTGAAATTTTGTTTAGAAGTGAACGTGCGTTGATAAGTAAGAAGTTTAAAAAGGGAGTGTGGAGTGTAAAAAAAACCGAGAGCTTCACTGTCGATGTTATGTGGTTTGGATTTGCATAGACTATGGTTTATTATGTTTGACTTATCGTATGGGCTATCGCTTGAACAAACTGTATTGCTAGTGGGACCAGGGATTTCTGAAGGCCAAAAAAATCAGTATTTTGATAAAGTGGGTTAATTTGTAGAGCTTGATTAGGCGGACAGTTAAGACAGGCACTTGCCTGTTGGGGTTGGGTTGATGGTGCGTAACCTAGTAATCCATCTTGCCCAATGGGGAAGTGTTGAGCAAAGTTGCGTCTTACAGGTTTATTATTTAAAATGTTTGATATTGAGTAACCTAGTAAACCATCTTGCCCAATGGGAAAGTGCTGAGAATAGTTATGTCTTACAGGTTTATTATTTAAAGCGTTCGATGTTGAGTAACCTAGTAAACCATCTTGCCCTATGGGAAAGTGTTGAGAATAGTTACATCTTACAGGTTTATTATTAAAAGCGTTTGAGGATAACCGTAGTGTGCGTTGGTTCATTGTGGTCTGTACAGTATTAGGCCTGCTTACATAATGATTGCAGTGGCCATCTTGTGAAACATTTGAAGCAAGTCTGCCCTTATAACCTCCCCTACGATGCGTAAGGTGAAGCATGGTGTCGGGAAGTACAGTCTTATTTTTATTTGGTACGGTCATCGTAGTATTTTTGATATAGGGTCTAGAACCAGAAGGTTCTGTACTTACATTCTTCTTACGTGGCAAAGGTATTTTAATCTTGGCAGCATTTTTAAAAGTTGTAGCATTAGAAATAAATACTTGCTTATGGGCTTCTAATGGTAAACTGGGTGATATCGGATTAGTGACGTCATTAGATATACTTTGGCTATCAGATGTCACTATAGACGTAACAGGCAAATTAGCATTCTTTGTTGGTATATCAGAGTACTGGAGAACACCAGATAGGGTAGCTGCATCAGTGGATCCAGCAGCTGATGCACCGTGGTTTGTTGTGATATCAACACCTTTATTTTCGTTCAAGGTACGTTTTTGCATATGCCTTTGGTTGGTGGTCTTATCTGGGACTATACGAGCGTTTCTAAATTTCGTAAGCGCGCAGATTAGCCTCTCGGATTCTTTTAACCGTTCAGCTGCTATATGAGAGTCGAATCTGAACAAGACCGGGCACGAGTATTTCTGGTGCTTTTTATTGAGTCGAATGCATTGGCATGGACTATCCTGAAGGTTAGATGCTTTTAATATCGAATTCCTCACAGTTTTAATGGGGATTCTGTCAGGTATATTATAGATAATCACGTTATTACGAGAGATTATTCGCTTGGTAACTTCATTAGCGATAAAGTCGATAACAGATTCTGCTTGTATTATGTCATCAAGTTCCGCAGGAACGATATCTTTTGACAGGAGCAGCTTAAGGGGTGATAATGTCTTTATTTCTTGTTTCAAATCATCATGCTTTGATAAAGAGCTAGCAAGTGACTCAACTTTAGAATGCATGTCGGTTAGTTGTTTAAAGACAGTGTTTAATTCACTCTTAATATTATCGATACTCCTAGATCTTGATGTGGAACTCATTATTAAATTAGAGACAGAGTCATCCAGCATCAGATGTGGTGTAAGATCAATCGCAACATTATCAGCTTCAAAAGGAGTAGCAGAACGTGGGGAATAGGTAATAACAGAATTGTTATTATCTAAAGTATTAGGGCTTTTCCGGGCTCGTTTTTTTGACAGTCGACCCATATCGTTTTAAGTATAGATTTTAAGGCTATTTCTGAGTTATAAACGAAGAATTCAACGATATTTAAACAATATAGATTAGATACCGTGTTATCGTAACGCAAACTTCAAACGTACCGGTAATATCCTGAAGAGGAAGATGAATAAAACTGAACTACTTTTCAAAAGTATTCATAACTTCCTTCTAATCAAAGAGCTGAGTTTTCATACTTGATTATCTATATAAAATTGCACATATTATTTATATGAAAAGAGAATTTATTTTTGTTTTTCATTTATTAAAAAAAACAAAACATTTTGAAACATGTCCAAATGAAGATTTAAAAATGAATGAATGTTTGGAGTGATTTTTAAATAAATTGAAAAGAAAATAATTGTAAATTGGTAATGTCAATCTAAATGTTTCCTAATATGTGAGCTAATGAAAACAAAGAAGGTACATGCACATACATGCAATAATAGTAAACAAATATATTATTATTATTAATACTATTGTACAATGATTGATCATATTCTAGAAAATAATTCGCTTCGTATATACTGGACCTGAACTGTAACGTAATAAAACAGAGTTTTTTGCTGCTGAAAAGAAAAAAAGAAATACTTATTGGACAAAATAAATAGACTAGAATTTTATTATTGTGTATTAAGGAAAAAAAGAATCCATTTAATGATAAAAGGCCTCTGTGGTGCTTGTAATGGAGTAAATAAAGATAGTTTAAAATAAACAGAGGGGGAAAAAACGAGCAAGGGAAAAAGTGAAGGAAGCATAGGAAAGTTTGATAAAAATGAAAAAGTCTGATGCAATAAATAAAACGTGTCTGAAAAAAAAAGGATTTAAAAAAAACGAGTAAATATTTACATAATTGAACTGGAAGACACTATTGAATGAAGTAGAGAGGATATAGAAAACAGAAAATAGTATGCAATCAATTAATCTGCTCATTTCTTGACAAAAATAAATAAGAATATGATCACAATACAGTGCAGTCAATATATCATTATTGATTTGATGATGATGGTGACAATCCAGTAGGAGACATTGATGAAGAACTAGACGGAGAAAGTGTGCCAAATCCACGCCATTTCCATGAAGAAAGTGGGTGATTTTTAATTTTTTCTTTACGCTGTTGTTGTTGTTGTTCTGCTTTAATACGAGCTTTTTCCATTTTAGCTAATCTTTTTTGTTGGGCAAGTTCAGCTTTTTTAGCTTTAAAATTAGAAAACGATTTGAATATAGAAGGAATCTTATTAGAAGTATTTGATATTCCAGAGATTTTATTTGATGGTACACGAGGTAATGTGGATACAGCATCAGAAAGTTGACTGTGTTTAATTGTATTACGATTAAGTGTTGCCTCTGGAGATGAACAAGAATCTGGTGAGTTTGAAACTCCTGGTAAAGTCGACTTTTCATCTAATAAGAAAAATATTGGGAAAAAAAATTGTTCGGTAGATATATATTTCATATAGATAATTTTTGGTGAATGTGTACGTGTGTGCAACAAATCACTTACAAATATTTCAAATCTATATAATTCACTTCAAAAACAAGAATTCGTTTGGACCTAAATATGTTACACTATTAAGAAAAGTACCAATACTAAAACAAACCTAATTACAACTAGATTGGATTATTTCGACATCTATGATAAATGACAGTGTTGACTATCATGTGACTGATCAGAGAGCTAAAACATAAGGTTTTTAAAGATGTTAATTAATTGAGCTAATTAAAATAGAAGAACGAAAAATTCGCAAAAACTTCAGAGGCATCAGAGATATATAGGTAAACCGTGAGATCAACCTGAAAAAAACGTTCTTGTATCCTCATTTAATGAAGTAATGAAATAAAGGACAGCATCGATTAATACAAATATCTAAACTAAATCTGCTGGATAATTCACTAAGTAATTATTTAAAAATATAGAGGGTTTGATTAGTGTTAAATTTCTATGATGAAACCAGTGCATTATTCTAGGTTTTACGAATCATGTAGAGTAGAGCACTAATAATTTGCTCTGGTGTATAAGCATAATGTGTGTAGATAATATATGAAGAGTGGATGTATTTGTAGACAAGTAAATTTACCTATGTAATAAATTAGCTAGCAGGTGATCTATCAGTACGTTATGGTCTTAACGCTAACAAATTATGGTTCAATAGGTGTATGTAATCTTAACAAATAAAAAAGTATTCTGATATAAATTAGGAATGTGATGATTATGTCAAAGTGGTCAACAACAGGGTTAGATTCAAAATATTTTGAAAAAAAACACAACTGAATGGGAGCTTAAAACTTTGGTGATATATCTGTAGTCTGTCATGTATTAACAAGAAAGAAAAAAGCAAGAGGATCGTGGAAAACTAAACTTTTTGAAGAGAAAACAGGCTATATGAAGATTAGTTTTAGGATTATAACCACATGAATACGTGACTTATTTAAGCAAAAATTAACAAACTTATGTAAAAGTTGGATCAATAAACCTTTTATACATAAATGTAAGGTTGAAATACTAATGAGCGACTAGTTGCAGATTGGAACACAAATAAGGGTTTTTATTAATCTGGTGTCGAAATCCAGGACTGCGATTGGTCAGTCTTTGTTGGTATGGTGTCAACCTGAGAAGACCTTTATATAGCTTCTCTGTTAAAAGCTCCAAAATACGTAGATTGTGAGTAGCAGTGGAATACAGGAATGCCAACGAAGAAATACAAATCTTGAAGAACAAACTTTATACGTAACCTATTGAACGAGTTAGTGATTAACTAAACTAAGTATTTCATTAGGGTAAGGAGCAATCAATATAACGTTCGAATTTCTATACAAACAATAATTCTAAGATGTAGGTAAATCCAGCCAGTGTAACGCAAATAGAACGAGAAGTGCAGTCCGGATTCCACTATTAGTTACAATTCAAATATACTCAAATATGAGCTCTAATAAATCATTTAATTAAAGATACCGGATGTTTGAAATTCAAGTATTTTTAAAGTATGTATTTCGGAAAAATTACAATTGAAACGAAGAATCCTTCCATACAATTACTTTGACAGAGTATCTTACAATATTATTAATATTATTTATTATTTGAACACATAGATATTGGTACAAAGAGGCACCAAATACATATGCGCCACACAAATCTCATTCGATATGTGTGAGGGCTTTGATACTGCCCGGGTGCCCAAACCGAAACAGGTGGTTTTCTTAGGGGGCCACACCCCGAGCCTTCAACCTGAGGGTCTGATCCACAAGGCAATGGAGCATCGTAAGGAGATGCAGTCCCGTGGTAGCCGGTGTCCAATGATTAGTTCTTACGCCATTTGTTCCTTCAGGATACTGGAACCCATGTACACCATTGGTTTGGAATGAGGGTTTTCCAACTCCCCTAGGTGGACTCTCCGTGTCCAACAACCCGGTTAAAGTGCTAGACATTCGCTTTTAGTCCTCTCAATTTCAAAAACAACACTCGTGGTGCGAGAAGCCAGTGAGTAGTACTTCCCTGGCAGAAGCCATATACGCGTAGCCATGTGAGAGCATTCCGAGAAGAGCGGACTCTACCCACTCTCTACCGTACGAGGGCATTTGGGGGCAAATCGCCTACAATATTACGACCTTCCTGTACTTATTAATTTAATACACATAAATTCTGGTACAACTAGACAATAAAAATAAATATTACCCACACGAATAAGGAAATGGATTTTTGGAGCGACATAGAGTGGCGGAGGATGATTAAAAACAAATGAATAAAAGTGGACGAAAGTAGTGTATGCCGGCGGACAGTTTGAATATCTGGGATACCTGTTCCTGCCATCTCGATATTTCAAAACGTTACCTGTTTTTGCGCATTTATGAAAATTTCACAACGTTTCTCTGTATAGCTTACAAAAAAATACAATCAAAGACATCGTGGTGGCTGGCAGTATGCATTGAAAAGAATGAACATTGTTCAGATGTCGATACCTGAAGTGTTAACATCTAACTGGCGATCACTAATTAACAAAGTTAACTGTTTTCAATTCCTATTAAGTTTAAGCATGTATCGTAATTGTGGTGTAGTCACAATTCAAGAATCCTGGTTAGATGATTTACAAAAAAATTTCTCAGTATCACTACAAGATTTTAATATCTATCATTAGTATCGATCAAGAGAGGAAAATTCGCTGAAACACTGTGCTGAGAATTCTATGTCGTACCAAAAATAGAATATTGAATGAAGTCATCGATAATAATAATAATAATAGTAATAATAATAGTAGTAGTAATAATAATAATAGTAATAATAATAATAATAATAATAATAATAATACAGTTTAAAATACAACGGAGAAGCCTTTCAATTAAGAGAGTCCTAATCACATTTTATGAAGAGTGTAAAAGAAAATAAAGGCGGGATTACCATTAGTTTTTGTTTTGAGTTATGTCTAGTAACTTCTAAAGCCACTGAGATGCGCTGTATCTAAGACCTCAACCAGTGAGTCAAGATAAACCCACAGATCCTAGTCCTATACAGCTTCCTTTGATATCTCGGCACCACATAATAAACTGACCACCTTTCTGTTTTATCCACCCGAGCCCCAAATTGGCAAATAGAGATATGGAAATCTCTGGAATGAATCCGTACGACATGCCGGATCTACTGAAACTGGTGTTTTAAGATGGTGACACCAGTTACATTGTGATTATTGAGCTGGAAGGCAAATTGCCGAACCTCCGAATTACTAATGTAGTGTTGTCGCTGAATGTCAGTAATCCTTTGGAAACAATGATTATCGAATACAGAAAGTAGTTGAACATAACGAACTCAGAGAGAACAGATTTTCCAAGTATATAGCATAACTGCTCATAAAGATTGCTACGTTTAAAGAGATTACGATATCACCTAAAACCGGCGAACGGTCAGTAATACAACAGAACAAGCAAAACAATTACACTGCTCTCAGCCCTACTAAATAAAGGGAGAAGACCAGATTCATCAGAGGGAAATGTATATTTCACAAGCAGTCGGAAGCACGAACGAACAAGCAAACTGCAGAAATGATCTTGGAAAACTTCACAAAATAGCGTACTAAAAGAGGAAACAAACCGGTGACATTTAAGGTCCTTCTAAGCGGGAAATACAAACTGAAGGTAAAAGTGGACACTTTTCGTGAGTAACTGAGAAATTCAAATTTCCAAAATAAAATTACAAAAAGAAGACGTTTACCAAGTGGTTTATGGGGATCTAGCATCCCCCAACGACGACACGTTATAAACCTGGAGTTTCACAACCAAACCAACATCAAGACAACCTTAAAAATGGCCCAGATTGGTATAAGTCACTCTAACTTTTAATTTCATCTCCAACGCCATTATCAGAACTCATACAACGACCCAGATATACTAAAGTTTCAACTACATCTAACGGATCGCTTCAGAGGTTGAGTACAAGTACATGTTCTTCTCGTCTTTGAGCTGGACGTTTTATTTGATGGTTAATAATACTACTACTAATATCCGGTTTTCCAAACTAGGTACGTGGAACAAGAACCTGAAACATATTTTGGAGTTGAATGGATAACCAATTAAGCTGCTACTAACCTAATAGTAAAGTTGTTTATGTCATGATACTTTAATGTTTATGTAAAGTACATACAAATCAGAGCTAATGTAACATACTAAGACCATTTAAATATCCTTTATGCATTATATTCCACTTTTAGAAGTGGAAAATAGAGATATCCTCTCTTCCTTCTAGTTCACGAGATATCTAAAATATTTTTAAACATGATCAATCTCTTTAAAATTACAAATTAAAGATATGTGAAAGGATGAAATGATTCTCGAAAGTTCGGATGGACGAAGATGGACAAATTTTAAAATGATATCTCTCCTTGACATATACCAACTGAACACTAATATTATTTTTATCCGTTGTAATAAAAAAAACAATTGGTACAAATAAACTCACAAATTTGCAATATACACAGACAAACTTTAACACTGACACCCTGATTTTTATATTACTTGTTCGGTTTATGGAACATCATAGTAACGAGAATTTTTAGGATATCAATGTAAACCATGATCAATGTTCTGTTTATACTTAATGTCAGCAGAACAAGTTAAGAAATGAAATACTTTAGGTGCGTTAATTCAATGTGTGCATATATGTGTGTGTGCATTTCAGTTGCGTAGGAGTGATATAGCTTACCAAGTCAATAATCATAAGATTGATGAATATTTCCCTTTTGTCTAAAACCAAACACTATGCAAGCTAACAAAAGAAATGTTAAAATTAGCATAGAAACAGTACTGTAAATTTTCAATTGATTCTACACAGACAATATATTTTACATTGGTAGTTAAGAAAGTGGATAATATAAACTTTAAAGAAAATATCTTATCATTATTAGCGCCCTTTTTCATATCATGATTTTTTAAACTAATTTCAATGGTCTACAAATAATCAATAAATTGTGCTGAAATAAGATAGAATAAATTCATCTGAGAGTGCAAAGAAATCTCTAGCAGCATAAAATTAAACACAATAATATCCTATCTTCACATACAAGAAGTATGTAACAAAAATTAAAATGTTACGAAATCTAAGACATCTTCGATTTCAAACCAACAACGGTATGAATAATTCAAAACATGAAATACCACATATTTAACACTAACCATAAAATGATGGATTACAATAAAAACATTTAATGATAAGCAGAAGAATCTTTTGTTTTAACGAATTAAGATAAGTCTTATATTTTTTTCATTCTTCCTGTTGAGTTTGTGGCAGACAAAATCTGAACGTGGATACGAAACCACTCCATTCCTTTTGTAACACCTGTGGTACAGGCTAAATGTTCATCTGTGAGTATACTACACAGTAATTTGCTTAATATTCCTTAGAGATTGGGAAATATGATTTATGAAACTTTAAGAAATGAATAAGTTGTTAGTGAGTGATCACAATTATCTTCAAGGTACTGAAAGTATATGGTAAAATTACCAGATAAGTAACTCAGACTTTAAATTTAGGGCTTCAGGTAAAAATGGCAAATCTACTGACGAAGTTGTAAATGTTCATCGGCCAGGATGGTTGTGAAATGTGTCGCATGTCCCCAGTTAACATCTATCCAGAAATGCTATGTTGACTAATATAAGGATGGTTAGAAGAAGGACTAAGAGCAATCAGAAGAAAACTCGGTCTCCATCCAAGAAGAGATTGAATAATGAACCGAGGCGTTTGGTGATATATAGACTTTCTGATTGAGACCAACCAAGTAATTGTAATTCATGATTGAGGAACTTAGGTGGTGTGGTTTAAAGGCAATTCCTATATGACCTTAAACGACAACATAACGGAAGACTTTTCGAGATCGTTTACCCATTTTTTTACTCTTCTTACAGCTATAAGTATAGTAACTTTTCAACTAGTTTTACATACATCAAGTATCGTATGTGGAAACCGAATGATCACTTCAAAATGATTAGTTTTATAACGAGTTTTCCTTATGATCTGCGAAAATTCATTATTTGACACATAATACATTGATTTGATCTTGATTAAATGATTCCATTGAATGAATACTTCCAAGAGAAAAAGCGCTAAAAAAATTTCGCTATCGTTCATTATCATCAACACAGTTACAGCCATACAAAAAACGCTTTGTTTGAAAGTTCACTCGGATAGTCTCGTTGTAGTTGAAATGAAAACTGCAGTAGACAATATTATCATCATTATTATTCTGTATGGCAGACATTTTTATCAATTAAAAGATTTCATAATCAAAGTAATGAACTTGTATATTAAAGAAATCACTAACAAGAATTATAAATATGGAAGCCGTAGATGAGTATTCATACTCAAATTAGTAGTCTTCTGCTATCACTGAGTATTAGTTACTATTATTTAGACAAATTTCATCCTACTGTTTTCCGATTTCTTTCATTTAAGCTAATGTGACCAATCGAATAATTGTGTGATTTGAGTCACCTATTTTTATGACTGCAAATAATGTAATAAATACTGTTGCGAATACTTCAGTCATTAAAATTTGAATGCATGTTACGCGGAAATCTTTTGCAATATTGCACAGTAGGTGCTGAAAATTCTTGACAGTAACAAATCTTATGGTACCGGATACATCTATTATCATTTTTTTATTATTATTAAAAACAAGCTAATAATCATACCCTTATTATGATATACAATCTCAATGATGTTTAATACACCTTTTTGTCGTTGGCAATCTTTCTTAACCGAGAAATTTTTTGATGGTAAGAATAAATAATTCAACGTTTAATATGAAGTAGACATACTACTCAGTAAATCAAATTTTATCAAATAGGTTATTAGAAAACACTAAACATAAGAAATTTAACTGAATCTAACCGTTTAAATTAATCTGTTTGTTTGTTTTACGAAATAACGTTGGCGAAACCGGTGCAGACAATGAATCCATACAAGAATAGGCATTAAATTCCACATTTTCATCGCATAATTGTTTAGTTATCGCTTCATTTTCATATCGTTCAGCAATTACAGTGGTTACATCCGAAGTAACAGAATTAAATTGACAATTGAATGATTTGTCTAAAGATTTAAATTTACTATTATGTAGTTCCATTAAACGTTTTATTTCTTTCCTGCGTATTTCATATTTCATTTCAATACGTCTACGATAATCACTTTCTTCACGATTCAATATTCCCAAAAATGTATACAATTCTGATAAACTAAATGTGGTCCACTAAGAATGGGAAAAAAACAAAGTAGAGGCATTATCTTGTAATATATATACTATAATGAGGTGAGTTCAATATCCCTTCTCAGTAAAAATGCAATCATATAAACAATTTGATTGAACTGTATACTAATTTGAGATTAGTGGCGATGAAATATTTAACTACAGCTTTTGTGATATTATGCTTTAAATGATAACCAATGTGTCATTAAAGGCTCTAGTATCAACCAGAGCTTTCAATCAGCAAGATGCGGGTTCAAATTAAGCTCCATCTATTTATATATCGGGTAAGTAATATCAGTGGCAGTCAGATGAGTAGTGTGACTCAAGGCAAAGTACATAGCTACCTACTTGGTAGGAGATATGGAGATATGGTCAATAGGTTAGGGCACGCAAGTTCCAGTTACTAAGTCCCATATTTAAACCCCATTCCACTTGGGCTTGAGAGAATTTATGGTAACACTAACCTTCATGTGAAAATTATGACTTGAAACAGAGTATTTAGAGGTGTACTTAGTAAATACGTTCCATTAACAATCCTACCATAGTATAAATTTGCATATGATAATGCAGTATTTTCTTGTCTAATTCCGACTGCAAACCTTGGTTTAAAAAATGAACAGAAAATAATATCTAATGAAACACCTCAGGAAAAATATTATCTTACTGCACTGATCACATTTTCATTCATCACCACCTCAAAGATATTACAGAACTTATACCTGAATTCCAATAAAAGTTATCAATTAAAAATTAAATCCAGATACTTTTAACATGCAAGTTTTTAGTAGTTGAATGCAACGAGCACAATATATCTATCCACAAACAGTAGAAAATCTTATGCTTTTAATTGTCTCGTAAAAACAATACAGTGATATATACGAATATTCGTCAAGATCAGAACGAATAGTTTGACAGAAATTAGGCGTCGAGTATAGAGAAGTCATTATATGTAAAAATTATATTTGAAATAATCTCAGGGATTTAAATTTAATTTTGATTATTACCCCGAAGTCCAGACACGTTGGCTGGACGAAACGTTGAAATTATTTAAATTTCAATCGCTAAGATTCTTTCAAATATAATTTTACATATAGTAGTACAGTGATAGTCTGATAACAAGCACATTTATCTCAAAAGTTTATAAATCCCATTTTTAAAAAACTTAATCAGTCCATAAACACTAAAACAGCTTGTTAACTAAATATGATTCGATAAACAATTACTAAGTAATAGGCTTAGAATCAAATTTATTCAGTTTGTCCAAATCAGCTGATTAGTAAAGTATATGTAAACAACAAACATGAAGTTATTGACATATTTTCTTGAGTTGCATATATTTTATTATCACATATAAGTACAATTGTTTGCATTGAGCATATTTTCAATGAGAAATTTTCTTAATGAAAAGTTATTATTGGGATCTTTAAAAGAAAACATATTTCTAGTTGAATTGTAATTTGCAAAAAAAAATAATGATTGAAATCTTGGATGCCTAAGCAAATCTACTTGAGGTAGTATAAATTTTGAAGCCTTCTCAAAAGTCATTGATATTTACTGATTCAATAATGTTTTTACAGTTGATTTATCAATAAAGTAAATTGCTCAAATTATTACGAATTTGTCATAAAACAGTGATAACTTAATACGTATATTTTTATTACATCGAGCTATCCGTTTAACTGACATATTTAATTGATATAAATGGACCACCTCCAAGCTACAAACAGCCTTCTGTGAAATTTCTGAAATAACAAATATGAACGTATTAAGATTAAAACCAAGCCGATAACTAACATGAACAGACAGGCAGCACACATTAGAAGTATTTGTCTTGATAGAAGATTTGACAGTGTGCTCGAAAAAATATTGTAATCAAATAGGAAATAAAACCTGTGTGTACCGTCGTAACATATTTAAATTAATTACCATGTGTAGATTATTATTATACAAGGTTTTGAGCTACATAATCTGATGACGAAGGGTTAGGATGCTTGCTGTCTCCTTCTACAAATCGAAGTAGGGGTAGCGGACGTATGTGAGATGCAGCGGTTAATCATCGTGTTCTGTAACCACTGAGACAGTGATGTCTCGTAGGTAGATATACTATGGATACTGATTATTTGTACTTTTTAGATGATTTGTAAACCTCGCCTGTAACCCTTCTAGGGTCACTACCGGTCCCAAGCCCGGATAAAGGAGGAGTGTCGGGCATGGGGTCAGTAACTCGATCCCTCAGAAAACAACACTGCCGAAAAAACACCAACCAGAGAAACCCTGGTCAACAGGCTGTACTCCCACGAGGGGTGGATAACAGGCGTAAGTAAGCAAGATGATTGGTAACACACAAGTAATAAATAACTTACTTCAATATCACCAGTTTCATTCTCTTGTAATACTAATCGCTTCACACTCAAAATGTTGTTAAAATTATCCGGATCTTGATCGACCCACTTGAATAGCAACCCCAACGGTGATTCATTATCAAATAATTTTCGTACAGAAACTAAAGGATAAAAGAGAAGTTGAATGTAATCAAAACTGTCTTCGATTAAATTTATAATTTTTTGAAGAGCGGAGATAGTTAATGCCCAATGGAAATTTGATTGAAAGAGAAGAAACTAATATGAGGAAAAGTTTATAACTGTAACACATTAATTCACTTGATATTGTTTTTACTTGAATCTTCCCATTGATGTTTTAGGACTGAAATTGATCAGTCTCTTATCGGCATATGTGCATACTGTGCGTATGCCTCGATATTGCCTTAATTTACAAGCATTATAAACAAAGATGGATAGTGGCTATCAGTGGAATCCAGGACGCGCGTTTCGTCCTGTTTGGGACTCGTCAGCTGGATGTACCTGCATCTCAGAGCTGATGTTCACTCTGGGACTCGAACTCAGTACCTAAGTGGATAACGCGATGGCATTTGGAGCGAACGGTACTGAGTTCGAGTCCCAGAGTGAACACCAACTCCGAGATGCAGGTACATCCAGCTGACGAGTCCCAAACAGGACGAAACGTGCGTCCTGGATTCCACTGCTAGCCACTATCCATCTTTGCTTGTAACACATTAAGTAAGAAAACGTTTAATGTAAGCAGTTTTGCGACTACACACACACTTTGTACAAAAGATAATCAAACTACTCAATCATCTAAACCGAAATCGATGGAGCAATGAGTTCGGATTAGTATAATTATTATAAGCTAAGAGATAAGCAGGTAACATGGATACACTGATTGATCACCGAGTAATCAACAATATTATGCTTCTTTAATCCTTCGTGAAGATTAAATTCGATAGATCAATTTTTAATGTGGTCATTAATCTAGGTAACTCGAAATCCTGTTCACTATTTTTCAATGCTAGACAGAGTCAAATGGTAATTGTAACCTAGTGACCTAATTTGAATGTTTATAAGGTTGAACAAAAGGAAAATATGGATCATGTACGTTAATCTAATAAGAGTAACAATCGTAAAATATTATGAGTTCATACATAAATACACATGTAAAGCAAAGTTATGTAACAATTTAAGCCTCCGCTAAACAATTGTAACAAGCTAAATGGTTGTCTTTTGCATATAATGTAAAGGTTACTAGACAAATATGGAATTGAAGTATCAAACAGAAGTGATATTTTATACAATAATCTATGCCATAAACATGGATTATGATAATAACATTCGGTCAGCAGACACACGGATACATAAACAAACACTATCATGAAAAATACACTGGATTTGAAAGAAAAATGAAAAGTTAGCTAAGCACTGTTCGTAGAAGCAATAAAAACGATGGTGCAGTTAAAATTAAAAATAAAAATCCTGTTTAACAGGTTAACAATCTAATAGCTCGTTAGAATTTTCATTGATTAGAATTTTTAGACAAATCAGAATTAGTCTATACTTCCAAATATTAAGCTGCGGGTTCGAATCTCTCACAGTTTTAAATTCTATACACCGATTTTTTCCGCGGTTTATTAAAAACCAAGATAAACCTAGCTGCTTAGTGGAACTAATTTTTATGATGATTCCGGAACAAAAACTGGAATAGGAAATTTAGAACAAAGCCTAAAGGCCATGACTCAATATAGTCCAGTGTTAAATTTGTTGAATTCGTTAGCTGATAAGTAGAACTTTTTTACAATCTTTGTAAGTAACCTAGCACTGCTGTGACATAATGATTTCAAAGATATTACTTCCGAGACTGATTGAAAACAAATATAGGTCCATTTATTCCATTGCACATTTAATCCATTAATAGAAAATTTAAGAAAGTAGGTTACAAGCTATTTATCTAAACTCTGAAATAAGTGAATTAATTTGCAAAATGTTGTTATCAAGAAAAAACATGATATAGAGGACGATTAAAAACTATAGAACACTGTGTGGTTAGTCATTTCCCGATTTTAGGATCTATAGGAGTGACTAATTTTAGCTTAAGAACAACACTGAATCCATGATTTATAGGTTTCACAATATGCATTCTGTGCTTGGATTACTGCTAAAATCCACTGACTTCATCCAAATCGTGATATAGTAAAGCCATTCAATGTAATTCATGTACAATGTTAAATGTGGGAAACTCCTCTTGTTAATAAACAATCGAAACAAAATTGTCAAGTCCAATATGAACAGTGCAAGTGTAGCGAGTGTTTACTTTACTGACCTATTGTGTGTTCATCCCTAGCCCCCTCAGCAATAAGAATAATATCAAAACACAACCAAGTGAAAAGCTAATACATAATTACAACCCAACACACTATTAATACCGTAAACTATGCTTCAACACTTTAATGATCTAATCATCTGTTTTAGAAAGACATATTAAAATATTACAATACATCACATGACATCGTTATAACTGACCTTTCTGATCACCTTCAATTGTGTGTTCATATAAAGCAAACTTTTGAGGATTATCTCGTATACCAAATCGATCAAGTAGTGCACAGATAACCATTTGTGCAGTTGTCGATCTATAGAATAAAATAAATGCACAAAAAGTAAACTACTTTTTTTTCATTTTAAAGCAATTCACATCAGTACTTCATACACAGAGAAAGATAATCAACATACCAGACTTTTAAGTGCAACCTATTTGAGCTATTTATCAATTGAAAAGCTCTTTTAAATAAAATCCATTGAAAATTAAATATTTCAAATTAACAACTATGCGATATATCATCATTGAAATAGTGCTCTTTACTAACAAACTATTATATTATCACTTTACACTAAATCAGTAGAAAAGAAGTATTAGTTTGTATATCAAGTGATAAACAATGAAATCATTAAAATTAAATAAAAATACCACTTAAAATCGTCATGTTTATTAATTGATGGGCAATAAATAGGTTGAAAGATAATGTATACATACACGTTAAAATTTTATAACTTATTTCTGCTAAAATTTGTGTACAAAATGAACTGAGTAGAACGAACTCATTTACCAAGTACAGATTAGTATGTATTCATCTTTCCACCACACTTTATTTGTAAGGCCCAGTGATATTACTTAGCTGGCATAAGCGAAGTAGGTGGAGAGGGACCCGAACTGACCACCTAATAGTTGGAATTTAAACTCCCTAAACACTAAGCTACCGCTCGATTAACCATAGAGAATTAAACAATCAATTCTCCTCATTTAAGTTTGGGACACTTTAACTGTATTTACCCACGAGTTCATATGGAACAGAAAATAGGATTCGCATATTCACGGTAAGCTCATATTGAATATATTACATGTCAAGAACAAAATATTAAGTTTCTAATTTACACTCATAGAACAGAAGTAACTTACAGTCGAACATGCAACAATTTTGTGCTTCCTCTTGGTAACCGAAAAGTAGATACTGTTGAAGTTGTTCTGCCTAACCGACGATGTGACTCAACAATGTTTCCATCAGCTTTATGCACTTTATTATTTGGTGAAAAATATGGAATGTTGGCTGATACAAAGGAATGTGGTGTATTAGAAGGGTGTTGTTTCGAAACAAGATGGCAGTTATTATTGTTGTCGTCTTGGACCAACCAAAGATTCTGATCATCTTCAGATCGATCACTAACATCTGCCCCATCATCATCTTCATTATAATCATCATCATCATCTGTTTCATTACTTTTTGCACCAACTACGTCGAAAATGGAAGCTGGTCTAGCTGTAAGTAACATTTGAATAGGGCGGAGTAAGTTTATATGTACACGAACTTGACCTTCGCAATCACATGAATCAGCACCAGTTATCTGTAAACGGAAAAATATGATAACTCTGTAGTAAACAGAACACTGGAAATACACATGGTAAACATAAAAGTTGACGAACTATCTTCGACTACTTTATTTGTTTATTTGAACACATAAATATTGGTACAAAGGGGACACCGAATAGATATGCGCCACACAAGTCAGTCAGTCAGCTACAACGTAGGACCAGGCACATATATGCATCGGTCCAGGTTGCCATACCTCGTTAGCACAGCAAGATGAACACCGGATTCATGGGAGTGGTTAGGTTAAAGGTGGTAATATATAGGAGAAAGATTGCATATAAGGATACAGTACCGGAATATAGAATTAGTTCGTAGAAAGAAAGATATGAAGCGATTTTAATCTCTTAGTTTAAGGGAAGACAGGGAGTGTATGCACCGACGCCATTGTGATCGATTCTGAGCCATGTCACCAAGAGTCTCCAACCATCGCTTACGAAAGTCACGCGGACCCCAACCAAGTAGTCTGCATCTACCAACATGGCTCGGAGTAGAGGTTAGTGTTAGGTATGCAGAGGAATCTGCCAATAATTATCGTGTCAAGTCGAATGGTGTCCTTGGACATTAAATGTACATTTCCTATTGGTCGATATTTGCTTCAGTTATTTAATATTGTGTAAATGTTGTTTCCTATTTTTATGGTACGATGTGGTATGCTTGGTTAGTATATAAACAGAGTGTGTTTGAAATATAATGATTCATATCTCAGAGGCTGTGGCTTTGTTCTGGACTCAACTGGCTGGGGTAGACAGGGAAGCAGGGCCAATCCGGGCACTAGGTCGTTCGTACGTATTTACGTGTCACTGTAACCGATCGATCGATATAAACGCTGCTTTATCAAAACCTGCAGTCCCACACCCGTTACAACAGTTAGTGTCTTCAAGCACTGATGCCACGTTTTGGTTTGGCCGCCCCTAATTCTCTTCCAACCATCTCTAATACCCGTTAGCATTGCACGTCGTGGTAATCGGTGTTCAGGCATACGTAACACGTGGCTCAACCATCTCAGTCGATGAAGATTAACAACCTCATCAACTGATTTACCATCATTACCTAATACCCTGCGTCTAACCTCACTATTACTTACCCGGTGATCCCAACAGACGCCAGCAATATTTCTAAGGCATCTGTGGTCAAATGCTAGTAGCTTACGGGTGTCTTCTACTCTTAAAAGCCATGTTTCGCTGCCGTAAAGTAAGACAGAACGGACTGCCGCGCAGTATATTCGTCCTTTTATTGATAGACGGATATCTCGCTTTCGCCAAAGGTGACGTAAGTTGGCAAAAGCCAAACGAGCTTTTCGAATCCGTGCTGAGATTTCGTATGATACCAGCCCATTAGGGCTGATCAGACTACACAAGTCACTTGATTTGTATTGGGCTGTGGTACTGCCAGGTGTCCAAACCGAAGCAGGTGGTTCCCTTAGGGGGCCATCCCCTGAGTCTTTGACTTAAAGGTCTGATCCGCAAGTCAGTGGAGAAACTTCAGGAGATGCAGTTCCATGGTAACCGGTGATCAACGACTGGTCCATACGCCGTATGGCAACTTGGACCGATGCATAAATGTGCTGGATCCTAAGTTGCAGCTGACTGACTGACTCAGGATACTGGAGCCATGTGCATCATTGATTCAAACAATTCACATGGCAGCCGATTTTGAGGCCTCATAGTAAATTTGAGGACTATCTCACTTCAATTGTTGAAGCCTTCAGAAATATGATTGATATCTAATGTTTTCCATAAACCCAGTAACAAATATGAGATCATTATCAGAATGGGTTTTGTGGAGATTTTAGAAATTTCACAGATTGAAATCATGAGTCAGTTGAAGCTAGACCACCATTGAAAACCTGGAAGCACTGGACGGCCGTTTCGTCCTAGTGTCCTAGTGCCGTCCAGTGCTTCCAGGTTTTCAATGGTGGTCTAGCTTCAACTGACTCATGATTTCAATCTGTGAAATATGAGATCATTCGATCAAAGGCTCAGATAAAAGGAGTGTAACTGTTAGACCAAACCAAAGGTAGGGGGAGCGGGATTCCAACCAATAAACTAATGAGTTAAAGTCAAAGTGGTTACATATACTAAGAAAAAATAATACTCGAGTGTTTAACATGGTCGAATAAGACTGATCACAAGAAGTGACACTGAAGTTGTTGTATTCATACACTTTACGGTCACTGATGGATTGACAACCAATATGATGAGCAGGTAATTAACTGATCACAGTACAAGTAATACACAAAATCAACTTTTTTCCATTCGTCTGTGACTATATACCAGAAGGAAGTCATGATATAACTTAGTCTGTTAAGTCTATCTGCTGGTTACAGATGCTTAACAGTATAACACCATAAATATACGTTCACATAATAAGTTTTTGATTAATCGATACGACTCGTCAAAGTATACAAATCTGATTGTTAATCTAACTGTAAATAAATCATATGAAGAGTGGTGTATTCATACATCATTTTGATATATCTTAGGCGCAAAATATATTCTTATTTATGGTCCTTGTATTTTATTTGAGTCATTCGATTCACGAGTTTCCAATTACAGGTATCAAATCAGTTAAGTATCCCCGCCTATTCAACAAAAGCCCTTAAAACATAAATAACGCACAACTACAAACCAAAAAAGACTATGTTCTCTTATTGTTATTACTAACCATAAAACCGATAACTTATAATCCCTTAAGTTTATCCTTTATTTGTCTGTGACTGTAAGAGTTCTTTAAAATCATAAATCTAAGTATTTTGATTAAACACGAGTGGATAGTATGAAGGGAGTAGAGCTCTTGAGCATTAACAGAATAGAACAACGTAGAATATAGTCCAACACTACATTTACTCACGTTGCTACACTTTGCAAAGACACAAATAAAAAACGTTATTAGTCAACAGAATTAACCAGGAGGATATGAATAAAAGACAGTATGTTTGCACAAGTTATCAAGTTCCAGTAATCTCAACTGAAGTTCTCAATAATCGACTAATAACAACAAGCCAGAAAGTTTACAATTCCTAGGTCAATATTTAGAAACATTGTTAGTTGGTATGATCACCCGGAGACTAACCAGTACTTCATATTGCAATTCGGTGGTCGTATAAAACACACATTGATTTTAGATACTTTTTGTCAACACTTCTTACATTATTATCTTGATATCTAGTTTGACTTTATCCCACCTCTTAACTCAACTCTTGGACTAACAGCTGTTTATGATTTCTCAAATTTTGCAATAGACCTGATTTCTCAATCAATTATATCCTCTAAATATAGCATGTTAAAAACTTTGGTAGTAAATATTCCTTACAATAATTATGGCAAGTATTGAGTTTAAGACGAACTTACACTAGCAGCTTGCAATCCGAATTCATTTACGCTAAAGATTTGAATTAACTGTTTCAAACGATCGGAGGACCAAGGTAATATTGCTCGCGGTCCAACCACCATAGGGATTAATGGAAGCGCATTTGAAGAACGTAGATGAGTCTGAAAGCTTCGTTTTTGTTTGGTGCGAACAAATTCCTGAGTTGTTTGCATCACACTGGCAAAGCCAATATCAGAAACTTCTTTTTCTGGAAACGAACTTTCATCTGAACGGGTAAAAGGATTGGAGTTCGAGGTATCTGAGATAATATTTGTATTCTGAAGTGGTTTAGAAGTGTTTTGTAATTCAGTAAGAGATGGGCTTAGTTGTCTCACAAGAATCCCTCGATCTCGAATTGCCTCCTTATCTAAGCTTGAAAAATCATAAGCCAGGCAAACGTTTGGTTTATTTCCGCATAGAAATGAATGCCTACTGACTAATTTTACATCAACTGATGTTTTCGATTTGTGAAACTCAGTAGAACGCCTTGATAATGTTGATTGAGATAAACATTCAGCTTTCTGCTTTGTTGATATTCCATTATCCAGTTTAGCAGGTACGTTTAACGGTGTGTTGAAGTTTGTAGTCATGGAAGTGTACTGACCTTAAATGATTGTAATAGAAAAAAAAAATTTAGTCAGAAACCACGCGTTCGATTAATAAAACTCCATTTCTTTAGCGTGAATCAAATAGAATAAAAAGATTAAAACCTGTACCTTACATTGAATTCATTGTTTACTTCTTTGTGAAAGCAAAGCCAAAAAAAGAAGTTATTTGTAACCAAGAAAGCAGGAAGTCGACAACCTTTACAAACGATTATAACTGATTACGGACTAAACGTCGCACATAAAACAGAATTCTTAAGGAAATAACAAGCACGTGTTAATTCCATGAACAAAAACTCTTATGTATGGTCAAGCAACTACATCGAGGTAAAGACAATAATTTGTTTTTCCGCATATTGAATGCTAAAATCCCTATTTCTCTGTAATGGCGAAGTTCCTTACGACAAACGAGTAGTATAATATCAAAACAGGCCGATTTCTAATTTAAATGTTCATGAAAGATCAAAGGTGTTAGGGATCTGCAATACCTCTCAAAATACTCGTAAAAGTTCGCGATCTTTTAAGAAAGTCCTAATCATTGTCATTAATAGGCGAGAACGCCAAACACGAAGTTGATTCTCTTGAACTAAATCTTCACGTCAAAGGTTTTAAGGGTGAATTATACCAATGAAATAACTTATTTCTGTATACAAACTTGAGTAGTGCCAAAATCTTTGCACAAACCATGATAATCCAAAGTGAAGAGTACGAATAATGTACTCTATAGAAACCTATTACCAATCCTTAATTGGATTACGGTAGATAAACCTTATATTTCTGCTAATAAAAATATATTTGTAATATCCCAATGAGTAGAAGAATACAATTTTCTGACATTTCATGGCTTAGTATAGGCCATTCCGTCATGAAATGTCAGAAAATTGTATTCTTCTACTCATTGGGATATTACAAGCATATTATTTTTATCAGTACCAATCCAACCAATCTTCAATTTATTTGAAATTATCAAGTCAAACCTTGGTAATGGTATGGCAACTCGAACTGATGTACGTACGTACGAAGTTGGACGTTGTTACTGACTTACTGACTGAATGATACCTACAGAATAATATTTCTGCAGTTTTATTCTTAATTAGTTTATACTCTTGCCCATCTTAATTTTATTGAGCAGCTAACCTCCCTAAGAAGTTCTGAATAGCCTAAACAGTCTCATTTTGCAAAACGGTCACTTCCCAAAACGTATTCCGAAACAAAACATGTTCTTTATGAACTAATACGTTCGATGTATGTTCATATTATTGACACAAACTTGGCAAAATACAGGTCTGGGCATAATCGTGAAATTATAATTAATCTATAAAAATAATGAGAGCATATTATTTTCATAGCCCAAAATTGATTTTTAAAATGTTTTATCATCGATTTAGCTACAGAGATCACTAATGTATGATAGTGGGAAGTTCTAAAAACAACATGAAAAGTTTACGGTGTCTTAGTTTTGAAAATCCATCAGTTAACGTCATTTACACGTCGAAAAGTTATCTTAGTTTATCCATGGTACGACCATTACATAAGCTTGAACCTCCTATGAAAGATATTTTAATGTCAGTTTAGGGACGTTTTTTAATCCAGACTAGCTGAGCTGCAATATATAACATTTCTGCATATGACCAAAGTGAAGGCGATATGTTTTACGGTGGTTAAGCTATTTTAGCTTAAGTGTTTTTAATTAGTAAAGGAGTGTGAGTAATAAAATAAACATTAACAAAGTAGTATGAAAAATAACACTAACTCGAACTAGGAGAGATTGATTGTAAAGTAACTTTTTCGAACGCAAGATGATCAATCGTTTTGTCAACAGGACTATTCACTCCATCTAATTCATTTGGAGAAACAGTATCAAGTAATGGTATATCACATTCAGAAGTTAGGTGATTATTTACATGGAAATCCAGTTGGGAAGACTTAACTAAAGTTCCTTCAGACGAGATATAATTAGTGCTATCGTTTTCCGGACTTGTTGATAACTTAGAGACTGGGCTGTCAACCTGCTGAAGTAAAACAGATTGAAACGTTGGAAATATAATTTGTATTACAACTAAACATTAACTGATTACAAAAACGGAAGACTTCAAGAAGTTTATGTTCCACTATTTAACACACAAAAATTTATGTCATTCTCTAAAATGTTATTTCAGAATACTAATAATATTAGCCGATTATTGCTCGAATAACCATAGACAACGACTGCTTTGTCATTATGTATAATGTACAAATAGCACATCCAGTGATCAGCAGATTTATGAGACAATTGAGAAACGAAAGTCACTTAATTATTAGTCACACATGAATAACTTTCCTTGAGTCAGAAAACTAAAACTCATTGTTGTCATTAATTTGGATTCTAACTGGGTTTGTACTATAAATCTTAATATATTAGTTTACACTATAAGTACAGTAAAAGGTGGATGACGAATAAAATCTAAATAAAATAGGCGACGATTGAAAACGTTTTTGTACTATTAAAATACTTGTCATAGTTTAAGCTTAATTTTCGGTGCAACTCATTAGCTAAATATACTTTTATGCACCTAGCGTTGATCCGCTGTATGAATACTAACCATACTATCAAATTTCCTAGATACAAAGGGTGTAATGGGGTTTAAATGTGCATCTCAAACTTCAGGTAGTGAAGACATTATGGAAAACCATTCTCAGAAAAAATCTAGGTTTTTGTTCATGTATTTAATCGGTAACAGATATACTCGCATTGTACGACATTCCACTTTACTGTTATTACACCATTTAATGTTCAACAGTGGTATTATATTTATGGACAATGAACAGCGAATTAATAGTGATATTTATATTCCTTAGACAGAAAATCACAGACTCCATAATAAAATGAGATTGTACATACACCATGTCATATAATCCTATTAAAGAGCTAAACAAATTTAAGAGCTAGTAATTTAATCGATTTTCAGGTGCCTCAAGAAGCATCCGCTCACAGTGATGGAAACTGTGAGGCGACAACTGTTTTCATATTTCTAACAGCGCTCAAGTTAATCCTGTGTACAATCAAATCTCCACTACACTTCATAATACTTTTTCTACTTCAACTATCAGCTCTCATTTTGTCTTAGATTTCTTCCACACATGCCACTAGTGTTAACGATCTTAGTTCATGAATTGCTATCTCAATTCTCCTAATGTAGTGAACAAGAACACAGGTGGGGACAATCGAATGTATTTAGCACGAAAATTACAGACTATCTCAACAAAATCTGAATACCATAAAGTCAATCGTCAATTTGCAAATTATCAATGCATCATATCAAACTGTACTGTTCAAGTTGCAAACACTAATCCATTGTCTCCCATTCCATTGTTCATAGGTTTTCTTACAAATTCCATTATGTTCTCGCTCCACCTTTCTTGGTCTTCGCCATCTTTTGCTGCCGAGCATTACGTTCTTTTAACGCACGTTATATACTACTTATGTCAATATAAGTAGCTCACACCACACTCGTCCCCCCCTTTAAAGCAGTCGTTCTTGTGGTGGTTCGTGCTCGCCGTGCAAAATTCTCCGTCTCTGCAGCCTGTGCCACGCTCTCCGTCAAAATGTCGAGTCTGCGGGGCGCTGACTTCCGTAGTTCCGTCGACCTGCCGGGAAAACAACAACCGACATCCACCCGGCACCTGGGACGCTTTACACCCGTACTCCACCGGCCTGCTGAGCCATCTACATTCGATGTCCGCCCAGCAGCCGCGCGTCCCACCGCTCCTCTCCGCCGACAGCATCCACTACAGCCAACGCCGCCCCGCCAGAACACTCCACCAGACGCCGCCTCTCCGCACCAGACTGCCCCAACTGGCACCTCAGCCCCAGGCCCGCAACGGCGTCCGCAGAACAGCACCCTCCTCCTCTCCCGGTTGGCAGCGACACCAAATGTAGTGAACAAGAACACAGGTGGGGACAATCGAATGTATTTAGCACGAAAATTACAGACTATCTCAACAAAATCTGAATACCATAAAGTCAATCGTCAATTTGCAAATTATCAATGCATCATATCAAACTGTACTGTTCAAGTTGCAAACACTAATCCATTGTCTCCCATTCCATTGTTCATAGGTTTTCTTACAAATTCCATTATGTTCTCGCTCCACCTTTCTTGGTCTTCGCCATCTTTTGCTGCCGAGCATTACGTTCTTTTAACGCACGTTATATACTACTTATGTCAATATAAGTAGCTCACACCACACTAAGACCACTCTTCAAACTGCATATTGGAACTTTCAGTATCAAAACCTTAGGTTGATTCAGACAACAGGACTTAGCTAAGACTTGAGAATTTCGTATCATTAATGTATGCTATCTCTCCAAAGCACGAATACAGGATCCTAGAGTAGTCATACGTCTGACCTTATGTAACCAATGCAGAGATCTAGTGAGAAACACCCTTCGTGTATCTGGGAATGTAATAGCAGCGTCTTATGATCTCCACAGTGTACGTATAGCACTAAGTTTGAAAACAGAACAGGCAGTTCCTGATTGAATCCTTGTAGATAACTACTTATATGCTAGCCATCTAAACGGTGTAGTAAGAGCTCCTTCGTCGTTTCTGCCTATGCTCTCAATGGCTACAGCTTGGATGGAATAAGAGATGAGTTTTACAGGAAGTCTGAGGAAGCTTATTCGGTCCTTAATAGGTTACGTGACTAGTGAATTGTGCGCGATATCTGCTGACCAAGGGGTGAATATACTATGAAGCAGCCCCATTTTAAGTTAAGGCTGTGAAAAAATAGTCTAAGAAAGTAAAAAAACAAGCATTATAAAGTTTTTGAACATAGGTAGTTTTTGAACATTACTCATGTATCGTGAAACGACTGAGTGAGTAGTACTGTGTTTAGGCATAAGGTATGAGGAAAAGATGAGATTGCGAAACTTCATCAACTGAGATGGTTGGCATACACCTTACTTATAATCAACTACTGTCTACCTTGGTGAGTATTGTGAGATGATGTAGGAGAAAATTAATATTGTTCAAACCAAAATGTGGGGTCAATCGATGAAATAACTTACTGTTGGTCTAAGCAATGTTGACAGATGCAGACTATCTGGTTTGGATCTATACGATAACCATGACCAATGATTGAAGAAACTGGGTAATATGGATCAGACTCAGTCACCATAGTGCATATACATTCAATCTTTACTCCAAAACTTCAGTCCTACTTCAGTCCCACTTGTTAGCGGAATACAGAGTGGATTAAAGCGCGTTCCGTGAAGGATTTGGGGGAGGGGCACGTTGATTGGCTACTTTTCGTCTAACCAGAGCTACTGGACACTTCAAGAATACTCTAGAATCTTCTCATGTAGAAATTATAAATATACTAACGTTTTTCTTATTGTAACTCCTACTTTCATCTACCGTTGGTATTTGGAATATAATTTCGTTCCTGTCCAACCGTGTTCTTATTTGGGGACTTGTCGAGTGAATCGACATGTGTGTGGGCTGTAATACTGCCCGGGTGCCCAGACCGAAGCAGGTGGTTACCCTAGGGGGCCACTCCTCGAGCCTTTGACCTAAAGGTCTGATCCTTAAGGCAGTGGAGCATCGTGGGGAGATGCATTCACAGGGAAGCCGATGACCAACGATTGGTTTATACGCCATTTGTCCCCGCAGGATACTGGAGCCCATGTGCACCAATCGTTTGGGATACGGTTAAAGCGCAGGATATTCGCTTTTCGTCCTCTCATTTTTGTAAACAACACCCCCGCCACGAGAAGGCAATGAGTAGGACTTCCCTGGCAGAGGCTGTATACGCGTGGCCGTGTGAGAGCATTTCGAGAGGGAGGGCGGGCCCACCCCACTCTCGGCCATACCAGAGCATCGATGTCCAAAAATACTAAGCAATAGGAGTAGCTGTGTCGTAATAAAGAGAAATTATAACACCACTAAACATAAATTACCAGTCTGTAGTCTCGAATTATATTTCTCACTGCTCAATAATTCTCATTATCATTGCACCTACATTACTCCTAATCCGATTGGTATGCATCTTAATTTTATTATAATTGTGCCAAAGTTGGTAATTACAACTTGGCTCGATGCATATTTGTGCAAGGCTTTACGTTGATTACAGTTAGATGATCTGAAATAGGTTTCGCTTGACAACAAAGCCTAGCAATATAAAATTTGATAAAAGTTGTCGGTTTATTATTATTAAAACGATGTGCGATCCCTAAAACTGACAACACACATCACAATGAATGAAATGGGTTTAATTAAAGGAACTACTCTTAAACAGCTGCTATTTACTTATATGGTGGTAAAATGAAAACATGCTTACTTGTTCTAAATCGTCCCCCGAAACAATCATTGGGGGGAATAGATTTGGTTCAGTAACTTGATGAGAGGTCTTGGCGTCTTCATCACACAAAACTGTAACCTCAGTTTTGCACAGCCAGTGACACGTCATGTGGCATTCTGAAAAAATAAAAATACAACATAGTTCTAAATACAGTTTGTTACGGATTAGTTTCACAATACGGTTACACTTTTGTTTATTTTGTACTGAAAGATACTACTTGGCTAGTTATTTTTCTTTGGTAATAGATAGAATGTTGGAGTTTGATTTTAGGGGTGAAAGCGGGGTTACTTGTAAAGTACAAATGTTTGGAAAACCCAAACAACACTTTCACTGTAAATTTACGCTTTGAGAAATGTAATCAAAAGGCAAACAAAGTGATGTAACAAGACTTTCATGTTAGTAAGGTGTATGAAAAAAGGATGTCAGATAAGATGCAGATAGAAAACTGTGTACTTACGTCTTGTGCAAGCTCACACAAGCTAAAAAAAACACGGTCAGTCAGTTAGTCATACCGTTTTTTCACTAATCTAAATTAAAGTTTTGATGCATTCCACGTGGTGTCAAATGACTGAGATTAACTTACAACACACTCAAGATATAATACTCGTACCTATTGACACCTATCAGTAAGATATGAGTGCATTTGTACGACATTCCTTCCTCTTGATCTTAAATACCCAGTGACCCGGACCAAAAATATTAGCTTAGTCATGGTTTGGTCATGCAATTTTTTAAAATATCTACTAATACGGAAACAGGAAAGCGGTTAAGTAATCAGTTAGTGTTTCCTCCAATCTAAAATAAAACAATTATTAATACCCATTATTCTCCCACTTAGGTATGAAATAATCGAAGACAGATTTATTCATCTTATTCTTTATTACTATTTGCCTTCTTGAAGGGAACTTGAGGTGACGAATTTACGTATGCATTCGTCATGTTTACTGAAATTTCCCGATCCCGTAGTCATCCGGTTTCTAAAGGTCTGATAAAACGACGAACAAACACAACTTCTGTTTTATTTATCCCACTCTTCACGTTCACCAAAGCTAGAATCAAGTATAACACACTAACATTTACTATGCCATACAGTTGGAAGTATAGCCTTGTCCTCGAACCTTAGGTTCGTTATTGAAATCTTGCTGCTATCCGACTGTTATGGTGGTGATAAGATGGGATAATCAGACACAGGCCAAATGACAAGTGATATATGTTGGTAGTTTTAACTCACTGAGACAGATATACCCTAGTGCTTAAAAATATAACTTTATTTCATAAGGGATATATTTGTGGATAAGCTTTGAACGTTCTTTCGACTCAGCTACCGAGTATAAGCTTCCTACTCATTCTTGGTTTTCTCAATCAAGTAGCTGGTTTGGACGCGCATTTAAGAAACTTGTATACCATTATCAGAACGACTACCACATAACATAGCCAAATATATAAGAAACTAGGGCTAGACTATAATTTATGGACGAACCAATCAGATATAAAATAACGAGTCACGAATTTTGGTCGTTACAGTTCTTAAACGAACAGTAATTACTAGTGACAAACACTGCAATGCCTGGCAAGCGCAACAAGATTAACGCAAACAAGGTGTTGGGTCATGAAGAAATGCAGTCAGATGCGCCTCCTGATATACGGCAAGTCCCTTTTGATACATCTTCATGTCATGGCTCTAATACTAGTTTAGTAAGTAAGCACAGCAAAATTAGCTCTAGCATCACCCTAGCAGAGTTAAAAGAAAAGCAGCTGGGGGAAAGACAACTATTAGAGATTTGAGATTTGAAAGATAGGCAGATGAAGCAGTTGTTGTGCCTTCATAGAGAGTTAGGGTCGTTAAGGCTACAAGAGAACATGTAGTAAAGTATCTTCTACCTCCAATTGTGATGACAGAGAACAGGAGTATGTTCACAGTTTCGTCAGCCGTTCTCATAACCTTAGAATGAAGTCCCCAGAAAAGTCAAAACTGTAAAATTGTCCAGGAACGAAGAAGAAGGAAGTGACCTTGGCATCTCTAAGTGTGGGTCTTGAGCTCCCAAAGGTAGAACTAAATACTTTTGATGGGCAACCAGCCAAATACTGGAAATTCATCAGACAATTCGAGTTATATGTGGTATCCAAGGTCGAAGACGATGGTCAACGGCTCTTGTTCTTGTTACATTATTTTAAAGGAAAGGCTCAAGAGGCCATAAAAGAATGCATAATGCTTCCACCACCATCGGGTTATCGTATAGCATGCGATATACTGAAACGGTTGTTTGGCAGACGACACGAAGTCGGGCTTTGCTGTAAGATTTGACTGAAGGTCCCGATATTGCGCATAATGACGGAGAAAGTCTGTCTACGTTAGCAATAAAAGTGGAAAACTGTTCTATAGCTTTAGAGCGAATGGATTACTCAGAGGGTCTCAACATTGTAGTAACTATAGAAAGTATAGTAAAGAGGTTTCGCACGGCTTTACAGATGCAATGGGCTGAAACAGTCGGAAAGGTAACAGCAAATGGAAGAGAGCCTACTTTTGCCGAGTTAACAGAATTTGTATCATCTAGAGCAGAAATTTTACTCGGCAGATTGCAACAGCTAGTAAACAGGTTGTAAGCAATGTAGCCTGTTCCACACAACAGTTGTCGTTCGGTAGAATTTTTAGCAACTCACCTTGTGTTATATGCGGAGAAAATCATAGGATTGATAAATGTTCCCAGTTCTCCACATTGGCAGTCAACAATAAGTGGGCGAAAGCGAGAGAAAAGGGTTTGTGTTTTTGTTGTCTTAGAAGAGGCCACAGATCATTGGATTGCAAAGATCGTGTTGTGTGTACTATCGAAGGTTGCGAGGATCGACATCACCCACTGTTGCATAAACCCAATAAAGTTCAGAGTGCTTCGAGTGAGCATTTTGAAGAAATTCATTGTACACAGAGTCACTAAAAGAGGATGTGTTTCTTGGTTTAATCCCTGTACGACTTAGAACTGGGGATAAGGAAGTTTGTGCATATGCGTGTCGAGACAATGGCTCAGATACAACCCTAATCAAGTCAAGTATCGTACGACTTTTAGGTTTATCGTCAGAGAGTACATCGATTACTATCATAACAGTAAACGGAAATAAGTTAGCCAGATCGACAACCAAAGCTTTTGAAGCCTACTCATTAAACGGAAACGAATGTATATGTATTGAACAGGCTGTTGTATTAGATGATTTGCCAGTGCATAGACCAATAGAACCTATGAAGGACAGTTCTAAAAACTTGCCCCATCTTATGGATTTACCGTTGCCAGAGTTAGTGGGTGGCGAAGTTTTGTTACATATTGGTTGTGACGTGCCTGAAGCGCATTGGGTCATGAACCAAAGGTTAGGTGGAAAAAAGAGTCATTATACTGTTAGGACACTGCTAAGATGGGTTCTTTTTGGACCAGCAGGTCACAACAAACATGCGGAAAGGATTGTAAATTATGAATCTCAAACTGGTGACCCTGTGGAGCATAACCTTGAGTTTGCTGACGACTGTTCCTCTGATAATTCATTATCTCTGAATGATTCAAACGTGTCATAGTAGAGCGCGACGATTACTTCGATGAAAGTTACGAAATTGTTCTTTTACCTAGAGGAGTGGCTGAGGAAGACATTGCGGTCCCTGTTATTGGCAATGGGTCTGGTATGTGCAAAAGAACAGTTATGTGGGAGACGATGCCCAATCGAAACGTGGTATCCTGTCACTGAAGTACCAAATTGAACATGGTATTGTGACTAGGTGGGGTGATATGGAGATATGGTACCATGCATTTTACAACGAGTTGCGAGTGGCAACAGAGGAACATCGTGCTGTTGACAGAAGCTTCACTGAACCTGAAGACAAACCGCGAGATGACACAGATCGTGTTTGAGACGTTTTATACTGCAGCTACGCTTGTTGCTATTCAAGCGGTGTTGTTACTGTATGCATCTGGTCGTACAACTGGTAAAGTTTGGGACTCAGGTGAGGGTGTGAAGGTTATGCATTGCTTTATGCTATTTTGCGTCTGGACCTTGCTGGTAGAGACCTTACCGACTTTGTGATAAAGTTCCTAACTGAGACAGGTTGCAGTCCCTCTGTCTATTCGTGGAACATACTCAGGCGCAAACCTCCGGACGTTTTGCTTTATAGTAAGTTACTAGTCTTAGTGAGAAGAGGAACATATAGGGAAGCTGCGGATGCTTTGGTTTCTGGAGGGGGCCGGATAGCAGCAGACCATAGGTTAGGTTTATGGATCTACAGGCGTACTGTTGCAAGTCCTGTGATTCCCAGTGATATAGAGTAGTTAGTAAGGAGAGCCATGACAGGGATGTATTTAAAGGTGTATTTGAGTAGCTGGAGGGATTATGGGGGCCGGTGTAACGGAAAGATAACGATGAAAATCCCTGCGTAGCTTTTTGTTGGACAGTACTGTCATTTATTTGTTTCTTCTCCCTGTCGTATATTTTAACCTTTGTTCAGATCTCGTTTAAATTGAGCACGGAGTTTGTGTTTCGATATAATTTAATACGAGTGTCTCGAAAACCCTTTGTAAGCTCTACAGAAGAACGCGGTCTGACCTATTCGAATACATTTTGGTTCTTCAGTCCTGCGTTCAAACCGAATACTGGCAGTTCGGTCGTTACAACTCATCCATACGTCTGGCTAAATACAGTTTTGGCATTATAGCTGAAGTTAGTTCCTGATGAAAACCCTAAATCTAATTTTTAACCCTAGTCGCCAAACGTAAATGAGAATTCTAACTGCTTTATAGCCCTCATTTAGTCCTAATCAGTAGGTGTCTACCCTCAGAGTCACTTCAGCGTCGCTCAAAGGTCGTCCATAAATTATAATCTCACCGAAACTAGTTCGGGTGTAATCCAATCGTATTAGAGTGCAGCGCTGATCACACTGAACAAACGCAAACAAGTGTACAGAAACATAAGAAGAGGTGTTCAGTGGTATAGGAGATTATGTATCAAGGTGTATATACACCAAGTTGCTACGATAATGTGACAATTGGAACAGGCAATAACAGTTTCCTTCACAATAACTGACTATTCAGGGGAAACCCATAAAGTAAAGTGTATGCCGTTCAAGCCGCTTTTATGTATTTATTAACTGTAAGACATCTTAATAAATTATGAGAACTCACTTGCACACTTTAAACATACTGGACGCCAACCAAATTCCCAAATAGGCTGGTTGCAATGATCACAAAAGGTATCACCATCAAGTGGTACGGGACAAAATAAATGACCATTACTTGAAGTTTCTTTTGTAGAGTAAATTTTATCAGCACACATTAGGTCAAGTTCGATCGCCTCTGGACCAAGCTTGGAATACAAATGAGACTGAATGCGATTTCCAGCTAGATCAAGCGAATCAGATAGGGTTAACCGCTTGAAACTGAGACGAGGACCATGGTCATTGTTCTTATTGTAGTCTTCCATGTGAATAACACTATTGTTAGGCATTGGACTAGGATAATGTCCGTTTACATGAACACTTCCATGTGAACATGTTGTTTTTAAAGGATCAGAAGAACTTGAATCATTGTTCATCCTTAGAAAGCTAATAAATGCCTTTTTAACCTCTAACATCATTTCCAATAAATATGGTCCAATCATAGACTAGACATTTAGATAGAAATTTTGGTGCCAGAGTACCGCACCAAAATAGACGAGGCGCATCGCAATCCTTCGATGTTCAGTTATTACGTAATTTTTATTACTGAGTACCAAGAGTAATAGACTGGCCTGAACTTGTTAGTTATTCTCAATAAATATCTCTGTTTTTTTCAGGTCTTTTTTTAAAGTGTACAGTGGTGTTATCCATGCTATTGGTGATATTATTTGTGTGGGAAGCCTTTGTAGCGGTAAATAAAACCCCGGAGTAAACAGACTTGTAACTCTTCGATTTTTGATGCCGACCGCATTAGCTTTACCGCAATCGCCTAGCTGAAAGCAATCGGCCACGTATACGCACCAGATCACGAGTGGATACGCCGTGCTACATATCCCCTTCAAAGTTCCTCGACATACCGACAGCCTTTCAAATATATCTTCGAACGCATTTATTTCTGTCTTCTGATTTTATTGGATTGAAATTCTTCGAATATAATGGTATTACTTGTTGAGGTGTTGTCAAACTCTGAATACCTGCCGTGATAACCACGAACACTTGGTTGCCAATTAATTCAATTTAGTCATAGAGATACCACAGGTGTTTGATGTTTTACAACGCCCTTGCCAGTAACAACTTCGTATTCGAAGTATGACAATCCAGTCAACTCAGAGGATAGAAATAAAGGCGTTTGAAGATCTATTTGAAAGGCTGTTGGTATGCCGAGGAACGTTGAAGGGGATGAGTAGCTTGGAGTACCCACTCATAACCTGGTGCGTATACGTAGCCGAGTGCCTTCAGCTGGGTGAGTGCAGTAAAACCGATGTGGTCAGCACCAAATGTCGAAGACTTACAGAACCATTTTTACGTGGACTTGTTCATCAATACACAGAGTGCGGACATATTTATTAAAATCGGCTTGACCCGGTCCTATTAATACATCAAAGTAGCCGAGAAAACATCCCTAAGGCAGCTAACACTACACATATTAAACTGCTTGGGTTTGGCCCTTTGGCCTGAGGAGTGCCACACAAACATTACAACTATTTATGGACAGCTTATTTTGCTATATGTCATTTTGCACAGATGTTGTAAGCTACGATCCATAACCAAGCCCATCAGTGACAACATTAAACACCCAATGCTGCATTAACTCCCTTTGACTCCGTATGAGCAAACCTTCACTAATCATTATGTTTATTACAAATGACATTAGGTTTGTTGACTGGTTTATCCTATCCTCTAGTTACTGTTCCGTATGTTATTTATGTGTCCATTTTTCCCCATTTAGTAGACTGCAATAACTGTTTGTTTGTAGACTAAAGGCGTCAATTTACGTTTGAGGAACAGATAAGATTCATCAAACCACATAGGTTACTTGTTCTGACTTTGGTCAAGCTAAGGCTCTGTACTCAACAGTCTAGGGAATATTTTGGAATTGCATCTGTGAGAAATTACTGCCCACAAACGTTTGGTCGGTGAATTCGATATGCCTACCAAGATTGCTTCCAACAAGTGTTATGATTCTGATGAGATTCCAGAGTTGTGACCTCATGGTCTGGGAGATTAAAGCGAGGACCATTTTGAAAGGAATAAACACAAAACCAATAACCTGATACAGGTGGAGTTAGTCAGGTTACGTATAAACCAATTGTGGAAAGTAATTGGACAAGAAAATGACACGTCGTTAAGGGAGTGAAGGGCTCCAAAAATTGACAAGTAACAGCGAGAATGCAATATTCGAAAATCTGTATTTACCAAAGAAAGAAATCTCAGGATATTATGGTACACTGACGAATTATTGGAATTTTACTAGAAAGTTTGAAGAACGCATCGAGAGCGAATATTGAAACTATGGTTCTGAAACCACTGACGTACGTTCAACAAGAAAGGATAAAGCTAGCAGATCGTTTAGAATGTCCAAGGAATCATTGTTTAAAGGTAATGGTCTTAAAGAAAGAAGAGAATTTGTACTTAGGTGCAAGTTATGTAATGTTTGTCTGAAGTAGAACCATGTAGCAAACATCTGCCGGTCACCAGAAGCACGTTTGGTTGAAGGGTGCGATTGGTGTCACCGCACTCTGCTTCACATGGAGCAGAAGGAACGGACAATCACTTTTGAGAGTGAGTAGATCATAATTCTACTGCTCTAATGATAGACCTAATCGTAAAATTGTAGATTTGTCATGAAATAACTGCCGAATCTATAAGATCTTACGTGGAAGTCAAACCATCGACTACACCAACTCACTGTATCGTATCAACTACCATTACATGATGTAGAACAAGGTTAGGCTAGAGAAGGAACAATATATTTAGTATGAATAAAAGATATAAGGTAACATTAAGAAGGACCATGCCTGCATGACCGAGCCATGCCATTCGATCAACTCTAAATCATTTCATTCATTATTCGCGCCTTCTCTATCGTTAGGTATTTTTCCGCGTTAAATATTGAATATCTATTTTCCGAGTAATCTCGTATTCAGCTTTGAGGATTGTGTGGTTATGGTCCAATGCCACTACAAGTGCATACTTAGTTTTTACTTAGATTTTACCAGTGACCTCATTCCTAAAAACGTTTTCAGGTAGTAATCTTGACATTGTTGTATGTAGCTTTAATATAAAAACCACGACCAGTAGACACAAAACTGTAACACTTCGTAGAATCTATCACAAGGTCGATTGAAAAAACTTTCAAAATTAACTAAGAAGCACTGATTGGGGAACCTTCTTTAAACTAAACAATACCGACACACTAACTAAAATATCCGATCAAAGCATTATAAATATCTTCAACAAAATTGCACCTTTAGAATATCGGAAACCTAAGTTTTCCAAAGATCTGTATATGCCGGTCTCTATGCGAAGACGTTGTACTCGATTCCACAATCTTAATGACTTTTAATCATTAGTTACGATGGCAAATATAATTGTCCAGACAGAGGCAATGCGTACACAAAATTACTCGCGCGAGTAAAACGTGCTATCAAACCTAATAATGACTTCTCCGCACTTATCAAACTCCTTCAAAGTAAACATAAATGTAGTTAACGCGTCGGTGATGGTGGTTACGCCACCGGCGTTTTTTCACTGTCAGATGCACGTTTTGACCATGTTCATATCAGTTTGGTAGGTCCTTCACCGCGCTCTAATGGTTTTAGTTATCTATTCACACGCGTAGACAGATTCACAGAGTTTCCAATAGCCAAAACTGATAGTGAACATCACGGCTGAAACAATGGCTAAAGTTTTCATTCAGAACTGAGCAACCATTTTTGGTGCACCTATTACAATAACGACTGATAGAGGAGCCCAATATGCATTTGGGTCATTCAACAACTTCCAATTTTCAAGCGAATACGCTGCACTTCATATCATCCTCAAAATAATGGGATTGTAGAACATTTACACCGTCGTTTAGAGGGTACCCTAAATTTACACTCAAACGCAAATCAGTGGATAGAATTTCTCATGTTGGGAATAGGAACAGCTGTCAGTACTGATTCAGCAGCGAAACTAGTCTTCAGAACGTCTCAAAGACTAACGGGCGAGTTTATTGATCCTCGTACTCAAAGAAAGAGCTTGACTTAAAAAGTTACGTGTAACAACTATGAGACCAAATGTTCACACTCGAACTAATTAGTGCTCATGAACAATAGAAAGTAAATATGTGTAGTGGTATTGGGCCCTTACCACATAAATCTTGAAGCTGAACAGGAGACAACTGGGTAAACAGATATTATTATTATTGTAACATGAGTACATAAGTGTTGTGAAGAAACCATTTCTGGTTTCTTCAAAAGTTCAATAATACACAAGTTTCAATAATGTTAGCATTACATTCACCATATCTGAAAAAAAGAGTAATAATAATAGAATAATAATAAATCACATTCTGTGTAATGGAGAACAATATGGAATTGAGTTTAAAGAAGTTAAGGAAAAAATAAGGGAATAAAAATAAAGGAGACGTGAAATACGCAAATAGTTTAATAGGCATATTCATGAACACAGAACAAGAATAAACGATTACGTATGTATCGTCAAATTAATAACAAAAATAAAATAAAAAATAATTAAGAAAAAACAACTTATTATTTCAGTAAGAGACGAAGCTAGACTAAATGTTTGTGCAGTCATCGTTTAGAGTGATGTTATGAAAGTCTCAATTAAGTAAAAAGGATGACGAAATATCAATATTTATGAGTCATATATACATTGTGAAAATAAAACGAGTCTGAGAAGTTAATTTAAATGTAACACAAGTTATTGTTAATTACAATCTTCGTAATCTTAAGAACAATATTTATTTAGAGGGAAAGAAGATAGAGAAAAGAAGTGGACACCTAGTGGAAGGGTTAAACAATGATAAGAATAGTAATTGTGTAATGAATGTCGACCTCTAAAGTAAACCAACAATTTAGAAAAATAAAATAAATCCTTTAGGGCACTTGGATAAATACATGAAAATTTATGTAATAATATATAGAGTGAAACTGGATATTAATATAAACATTTGTGCGATAATAATTAAGAATGATGCTATGAAGGTCACAATTAATTTCAAAAGACAATCAGGAATTCAGTATGTTTGAAAGAATAAGAAGACATAAGGAGAATACCTAGTGTGTCGGAGGATCAATAGCGATATTAATAACAGCAATAATTATAGGTTCGAACATAAACAGACTCCATATATTACTATGAACAGAAATAAAATAAAATAGACGTGAAAAGTTTCAAAGGTTAATTTTGCTTTTCAGTCAATTAATAATAATAATAATATATTTCTGCATGTGCAGGTACACACCGTTTTTACAGGCATGATCTATAAATTACAACATTTGTTGGTTCACAATATGTTTCCCAACTCATTAAGTTTATAGTTGTTATAAAGTGAAATCGTAGAGCGCTTGCTGTAACCTATGACCTTGAGAGGACGCGTACATCAAGTTTGTTCCAAACGTCAGAAGTTTCATAGCTGTGCTCTCAGAGCAAGATTCTGAAGAAGAAAAAAGAGAAACAGAAGAGCAGCAAGGCACTTGGATATGAACGCAAAACGTTGCTTAATATAGTGTA